GTATGAACCCGAAAACTCTAAACCCCCAGCCCTGAATGACTTCCTTTGCCTGTGCCGCTCATATGGCCTGAGCCCCCGGGTCCTCTTGCGAGTTTAGGTCTTCAGGTTTAGAGGTTTGTGGTTCAGGCTGTCGGGTTTAAGGTTTAGAGGCTTCTAAACCCCAAGCCCAAAACCTTAAGCCCTAAACTCTAAACCCTAAACCCCTGGTAAAATGTAGGAACGCATCGTATTTGACTTCTGAGTGGGGAGCTCTTTCAGTTCAGTGGCAATATGCAAAAAGTCCGACTCACTTTCAAAAAAACCCAGCAAACCCAGCAAACCCTAAACCCTAAACCCTAAACCCTAAACCCTAAACCCTAAACCCTAAACCCTAAACCCTAAACCCTAAACCCTAAACCCTAGCCCAGAGCCCAAAGCCTAAACCTTAAACCCTAAACCCTAAGCCCTTGTGAAAATCATCCTGTTTTACTCCCAGAATAGTGCAGCCGAGGTCACATCTCCTTGAGTTATCTTCTTCATTTTAACGCTACGCGACCCGCCTCGGCCCGGGCCAGCGCATCCGCGTGAGCATGGTGATTCCGAAGCGCCCAAGTCGCTGGACCCCAAGCAATAAGAGTTGTTTTTAGGGTTTAGGGTTCCGGGTTAATGGTTTATGGTTTGGGGTTTAGGGTTGAGGGTTAGTTTAGGGTTGAGGGCTTAGGGTTCAAGGTTCCCCAAGCAAAAAGGGGGGGGGGGGGGTGGGGGGGGGGTCGGGGGGGGGGGGGGGTGGGGGGTGTGGGGGGTGGGGTGGTGGCCTGCTGGCATGGGTTCAAGTGCCCCTTCCGTCGCCCACGGAGGGGTACCCTTTCCAGTCAAAAAAGGGTCCGACGTGTGGCTTGCAAGGATGAGGAGGGGGGTGCCTGTTCTGACAACCTATACACCTTCGGCCCGAGGCCTCGGCGGATTTTGTATCCCATGAACCTCCCCTCAACAGAAGGGGGTAGATTCAAGGTTGTTGAATTCCTTTCACTCCACAACCATTTAGGCCCTTTAGGCCTTGAGCTCTAGCCTAACCAGCCGAAAAAGTGCTACGCAGTAACTGCCCATGCACGATCCTCCAAACTGGTAGGGGAGCCCCACCTTGTTCAGAGAACAACGGTCGGCGGCAAAGCGCCAGGGGACAGGGCAGTCTGTCTCACCCCATAGTGTGATTAAGTCGCCCTCAAGCCCATGGCTAGGTTTGGGCTTGAAGGGTTGAGGGCTTAGGAGTTTATTTTGTCAAGTGCACCCTCAAAGCTTTGGAAGTTCTGAGGTTTTTGAGGCTTGTTTAGCGAGGCATCTGACACCCTAAGCCCTGCACCCTACGCCCCAAACCCCCAAGCCTAAGCTTGGCAGGATGACATGAGTCGGCGAATCCTGCGAACGCGAACTCCACAGTCGGAGGACCCGAAAAAATTTGAGGGTTTCGGCATTAGGGTTCAGGTATGGTTTAAGTCATGATGTCTTGGGTTTAGGGTTCAGGCTTGGTTCTTTCAGGGGGGTTTGAATTCAATGTCGTTGTGTTTTGCGGCAAGCCCCCGAGCCACTACACACGCTTGTTTTGGGGTTGGGTGGTGTCTAGGGCGAAGATTGTCCATGGCAGTGGGGATTCGTCTAGGGTTTAGAGCTTAGGTTTTACGTGAACTTGGAGGTTCCGATTTACTAATATCTGTTACAAGTTGTTTTGCTGATTTACTCAAAAGTTCGTGCAAAAGAATGGCATTTTCGTTTCTTGTGCTTTGTAGAGCTGCAATTCGAATTTTCATTCATATGCTCAATAGGTTTTTGTTGCAATAATCTGTAATGTTACATAGTAAGTGGGGGGAGGAGTAGAGGGTCTGTAGTAGGAAGTTTGTTGCACTTCATTCTGTTAAAACAAATTCAATGTGAGATCTTTGATGAGCCTTATTTAAGGTACTTGTAAACTACCCATGAACCCCCTAAACGCGGAATCCACAACCATAAGCCCTAAGCCCCTAAACCCTAAATCCCCGCGCCAAAACCTGGGCATTTGGGTTTAGGGTCCCAGAGTTCAGAGAGCCTCCAAGGAGGATCGGTCCAAGCAGAAGCTGCTGCGCTTGAGCCGTTTGGCTTTCGGAGTAGAGCTGCGGGGTTAGAGTTGGGGGATTAGGGCTGAATTTCGTGGTCGGGGTCCTTTGAAGAAGAGATTCCTTATGGTAAAACATGATCCGAAACCCGAAGCCCTGAACCCTTAACCCCAGAAGCCTGAAGGGTTTGAGGTTTGGGGGTTCAGGTTTGGCTTCAGGGTTAGGGGTGTGGGGTTTAGGGTTTGGGGTTTGGTGTTCGGGGTTGAGGGTTTCGAGGGAAATGCAGGAGCCACAATTGCCCATATTTCCCATTATCGCCCCTATATCACCATAATATAAGTTGCCCTGAATACGCGTTCGAATGGAGGTTCTCCTTTTTTCACGAGTTTAGGGGTTAGAGTTGGGGATGCTTGTCACAGAGGACTAGATGTACAAGTATGCTCCAAAACTCCAAGACTCCTATGCACCCGGAACCCCTAAACTTTAAAACCCAGGAGCATCCCAGGCCCTCATACCCCAAATTTTCCAAAAGCCCAAACCCCAAAACCCCAAAACCCCAAAATCCCAAAACCCCAAAACCCCAAAACCCCAAACCCCAAACCCCAAGCCCCAAGCCCCAAACCCCAAACCCCGAACCTAAACCCCAAGCCTTAAACCCCAAACCCCAAACCCTCAAAAGCCACCGCGGCAGATGACTCGAGCTCAAAGTTGAAGATGCCGAATGTGGATCGCCAGACAGGCAACTCGGAGGAGGCAGGGCCCAGGATCTTGTGCTTTAGGATTTAGAGTTTGGAATTTGGGATTTAGCGTTTAGGGTTTAGGTGTTGGTGGTTCCCCTTCTTTCCCCCCCCTCCCTCCCCCTTCCGAAAACAGGCACGAACCCCAAATTCTGAACCCACAACACTGAACTCGAAAGTTGGAACGCCCGACCCCGAAGTCTTTCAATCCCCCAGACTTTAAGCTAAACCTAGAAGCAGGGCTTTGGGTTAGGTCGCCTCCAATGCCATGATTTTATTCAGGGCAAGTCCAAACTACCCACACTTACTAGGATGCCCAGAAGTACCTTTGTTTGCCATTTTTAGGGTCAGGATTCCGTACCCTTCTACTCTTAGGTTGCTGGGAGAGGGGGATGCCCGAGAGGTCTTCGGCAAGTTCACGATGGCTGATGCGGCGCCTTCCGCCATTTTCGATTGGGGGTTTACGGTTCACGGTTTACGGTTTAGCGTTTAGGGTTAAGGGTTTAGGGTTTTGGGTTTTGGGTTTAGGTTTTGGGTTTCGGGTCTAGGGTTGCTGTTTCGAAGTTCCGTGCAGAACGGACAGAGATGAGGTGCTGCAGAGCCTCACGCATCCGCCGCTGTTCAGCAACCTTGATTTCGACCAGGACTGGGCAGCCAGTGCCAGCCGAGCAGGGATGTCTCTGAGGAACCCTAAGCCCTAGTCTAAAACACCGTTCTCAAAAGGTGTTTTGGGCTGAAGGCGCTGGGATAGAGCATCAGGCAGAGAATGGGGTATTCCTGGAACCTCCAATCCAGATGATCCCCACAGTTCCCATCAAAATGGAAGGAGCAAGCGCGTGCGACCGTGAAGCCAGGTGCCCTCTTTCCAGCCGCCAAGCCCCAAAAGCCTGAAACCCTGAAAGCCCCCCCAGTCCCGGCACCGAAAGACTTTGGGTCCATCTTGGGGACTCATGGTGCCAAGAAGAAGGGTTGTATCAGTATCTGGGTACCCGAACATACGTACGTACGTAAGTACGTACGTACATACATACATACGCGTAAGACAGAAATAGACTATATCTATATCTGTATCTGTATCTGTATCTACATCTACATCTATATCGATATAATACACATAGTTCTTCTTTGTATAGGGCTGCCTTACTTAAAGCCCCACTTCCCTAAATCCGAAGCCTGCTTACAATGGCTTCGCCGCATCAGGTTCGGGTTTCAGAAAGGGCTTCGTGGAAAAAGTATACAAGCGATGCGGCGATGAGGGTTTTGTATTGAGGGGTTTAGGGGGTTAGGGCCAGGGGTTCGCAGAAATGTGTGCCGGGCTCTTGAGGGAATCGCCTTTCCGGAGACCTCAGCTGTAGAGAGGGTATCTCCCTCCAGCTCCAATTCAGCCAACAGGGCTGGCAAAATTCGCAGGCAGCAGGCGAAAAACCAAAGCCAAAAGAGCGGAAACAACTGCCCACCAAGAACAAAATTGTCCCACCAACGTCCGGGGCCGGCGCCCAGTGGGGAACAGCCACCAGGCCCCTGTAGGAGAGGTATTTATGCCAGGTCAATTCCGGCGGCACTGCGCCAGGCGGTAGGACACCCCCCCCCCCCCCCCCCAAAAAAAAAAGGTTGGCGCTACGACCCTCCTCATGCTCCTGTGCACAGATTTTGCGGCCTTTGCTCTTGTTGGATACCTCAAGTTTGGTGACTAAGGTAATAAATCCCGGTTGGGATGCCTCAAGTTTGGTGGCCACTGGGATACCTCAAGTTTGGGGACCGCTTAGGCAAGAACCCGGTTGGGATTGAATCGGTTCTTGCTTTTCGTGGATTTTCGCATCGTGTCCGTGATTTTTCCACGTTGATATGCTCTGGCGGTGGACCCGAAAGACCCTCAGCCCCCAGAAGCCCCAAAAAGCTCCAAGAAACCCCAAGCCCTGAAGGGGCCAAGTGCCGGGTGCGCCGCGCCAGCCCAACCTTCGTCTTCGAATCCACCGCCACGCAGGCACGAGGTTGGAGGGGGCCTTCAGGAGATCTGGGGTTTTGGTTTTGGCGTGTTGAGGGGTTCAGGGTTTTAAGGGCTCAGGTGGCCAGCTGTTATAGAGTTATAGCCCTTGAACCCCGAAGCATGTGAGCACTTGAAAACCTGGACGATCCGAACGTGGAAGGAGTACATGCTCAAGCAACAGGCCAAGAATTGAAGAGGTTAGTTCCCCCCATGGCTGGCTGGCTGTCCATTCTGCTATGTGCTGCGGTGTTGACCACTGGGCAGGCGTGCTCTTGCGTGTCAGACTACATACCACCGGATCAAGCTTTCTCCTCTCCAGCACAAGCGCTCTCCAAGGAGCCCTTTGTTTTTGCAGGGAAAGTTATCTCCGTCCGCCCCGTCGACAACATGCCAGAAGAGAAGTCCGAATATTGCGCGTTGGCTCCGACAAGTGAGCACGATCGTTGGGGAAATCCGTGTCAGGAAAGCTTCGCGGGCCACTTCGACCGTTGGAACGAGTGTGGCCGAAGACACATTGCCGAGGTGCTGGTCACTCACGGACTGAAGGGCATCAAGGCGGGCGAGACCTTCACGTACAACTGCACGCGGGCGAGCTGCGGCGATTGCAGTCCTGCCTGCCCCGAGGTGGGCCTTGAGCTCCTTGACGGGACCCGCGCAGGCGGCGCAAGCTCCATGTGCAGCTCCAAGCGCTGTGGCCTCAGTGATTGGAGAAAAGCTCGCTGCCAGCGCCTCTTCGAGGAGTTGAAGCTGGAGAGGCCCTTCCAGAGCCAGAAGTTCCAGGTGCCCCTCCCTGTGGCCTTCTCCACCCTGACGGCCAACTCTTTGTTCCGAAGCCAACTCCTGGGCTCGCTGGTCCGGGATGTTTCAAGTGCCCTCCAGCTGTCCGAGTTCGATGTCATGTCCGCAAACCTTTTGGAGGACCAGCACCGAACCGTGCTGGTGACGCCCGCGGCCACTCTTCCAGCCTCGACCTTCGAGCTCATCTTCCACATGCCGCGGCAGGCGGACTTGGATGCAGTCGAGTCGCAACTTCGCGACACACTCAGCAAGCCCTTCACGTGGAAAGGGGGATCGGAGGTCGTGAAGCAGTTTTGCCTCCGCGAGCCATGCCCCCAGTGCCAGACCACCTGCGTGGAGCCGTCGCAAACTAACCTTGTGAGCCTGGGTTTGCCCATTTTCTCCTAAAGGAGGAGGCGTCGCTGGGCGATACATGCGGGAAACAGTACGGAAACACAGAAGGAGCCTTCGCTTCTGTATGATGGCAAGGCAGCTCTAGACTCCACAGGTTCTTGAAAACTGTGCAGGGACAGCAGCAAGGGGCAAGGGGTAGCCGATATCAGCTCCCTTTGAGAGAACCCCGCTCATATCCCGGAGGTGTGATGGCCAGGTCCCCCTAAAAAGAGTGCAAGCTGTCCGGAACTTTCAGGAGCTCTATGCGGTACTAAGGCACCCAATGGATGTTAAGATCCTGGTCTGAACCCCCGAGGTGAGGAGGTGTGACTCCCCGATTTCCGGCAAGCCACCCCTGCCCGTGTACAGCCGGGCGTAAAGGTGACGCGCCTGCAGTCCCCGCTCGCGCAAAGAACAGATTTGGGAGCTCGGTATGGCCAGGGGGTTTCCGTGTCAGACTAAACTCTAGTGCTTGCAGGTTTTTGGTATTTTGGCGGCGGGTGCAGTCTACAGAGATGCCTAAAGCTCAGAGGAGAACAACGAAGTATCTATGAGCTGCGTCCTGCACAGCCATGAAGCCCCGGCAGGAATGGGCCCTCACGGACGGCCCTGTGAGCCCTGCCTTGGAGCAGGACCCACCGGGATTGGTAGAACTCGGCAGGATGGCTTTTGCCAAGCACCGGGGAACCCCAAGGCCCTCAAAGCCTGAACTCGTAAACCCTGAGCTTGAAAGCCCAAAGCTCAAACACTCCTGGAACTCAAACTTAACGCAGTCTTAACCCGAAGCCCATAGCCTCAGTCGGGCAGCCGTCTCTTGTTCGCAAGAGCCCGGCGAAAAGTCCGAAGGTACCCACAAGAAGCGGCCTCTTTTTGGTGTCAGGGAACTGAGGGTTTAAGGTTGAGGGGGCTTGATGTTTTAGTGTCCAGGGCTTGTGATCGCCAAACCTAGACGCAGCCCACCTAAACGTAGCCTGACAAGCTGGGACGCTGGGCGAGAAAGGCGTACGTGCAGCGAGTGCAGCGCTCGGACGGCAGGTTCATAAGTGCCTTGGCGCTGCAGCTCGGGCGTCAGTGTTTAGGTTTAGGAGTTTAGGGCATTTTGGGATTAGGCTTCATCTCAGATCCTCATGTAAGTGTTCGGTGGCAACCCCGAATCCTCAACCTTGAAACCTGGGTTAAAGTAGGGGTTAGAATGGGCATTCTGGGGTAGTATCTGGAGATTTCTTGTTGTTTAGTTGATCTCTCGCCGGCGTTTGGCAAGCCCACAGGGGTCTGGGCTTGGGTCAGGGGGAGAGTTCGGTCGAGTTCAATCGTAGGGTTGGGGTTTCGGGGTTAAGAGGCTCCGGGTTTGGGGTTTGGGATGCTTCGCGCCTTTGCAGATACTCGCCTTCCGAAAAGTGCCCTTCCTTCTGTGAGCTGGACATACGATCGGATCTTCGACGTGCCCTCGCCAGATCTTACAAACAGCTACAGCAGAGGAGTAGAGGACATGAAGAAGACGGAGCCTAGTGGTCTTTGCAGATCCGAGGCCTTTCAAGCCGCATCTCATGACGTAAAAGCCCTCGAAGCCCCGGATCCCAAAACGAGCCCTGAAGCCCTGGCAATCAGAACTGCAGAGCGCGATGTGCTTCGCGGTTTGCGGGAACCTCATTTTCGACCTCATTCGACCTGCAGGCTTCAGCGGCGGATGCCACCTGGGCCTGAAAACCGGGCGCAGCTATTCCGCGGAGGTCGGGATGACATGGGATGTGGACATGTCATGGCGTGTCGGCTTGGGGGTTGAAGGGGGATAGGGAGGGGAGCAGTTGAAGCAGGCTTGGTGGGGTTGCGGCTCCCGCAGAAGCCGTGCCGCTTGTTGTTGTTCCGTGCTGTGAGTCTTCTCCACGGTAGTGTGGGGGACGCCTTGGTGTGTGTTCGAAGGACGCCCTTCCGTAAGCCAGCGCCGTGCAAACCTGAAGCTGCAGCATGGGTTTGTCGGCCATGCCGGCCACTGGCCCGGAGGTGAAGTACGTCGACGCCGCGGCGAGTAAGGTGGACGTCATCTACACGGACTTCCAGGTCGGAGAGCCAGAGCGGGTTTTAAAGCTTTGTCATTCCCAACCCAGTTGCTGCATTTGTTCCCCACCCTCGGCGTCAGATTTAAACTCAACCATTTCCTCGCCTCTGTAAGAGCCTCCTCTCCTGTTCCCTCGTATGCGAGATACCGACCAAAACACCTACGGCCCAGGGCTTCGAGGGATATCTACCCCCCCAAACTAGCATATACCATTCATTTGTTTTGTATCATGTGGAACCACAAGGTTGTTCTTTTTCATGCTCGTAGTACTGTTGCTACATTCATCGTTTCCAGGGCAGGGAATTGCACCCACACACAACCGTAGAAGGCCCTCTGGGTTAAGAAGCCTCCACTGAACCTTGAACCCAAAATTAGGGTCGAGGGTTCAGAGTGAATGTTGAGTTCAAGGACTTTCGAATAGTTCTCCAAGCATCTCGACGCACCCAGCGCACAAAGTTCCCCTTCTTTTCCCCTATTTCCAAGTTTCCCTTCGGAACCTCGAGCCCCACTGATGAGTCCAGGAATGGGCCTCTGGGAACTCTGGGCACACCGGCAGTCGCGGCAGCACGGGGAAGAACCTCCCCCCGCTGCAGGCGGGAGGCTTAAGGGTTTGAGGGCTTTGGGGCTTATGAGGAGGGGCGTTTATGGGCTTCAGGGTTTGCGTTTCGGGTTGAGGGTTTGGGGTTCTCAGTTTCTTGGGGGGCCCGGTAAGCAGGCCTGCCCCTACTCGCCGATTGCGACAGGCAACCTGCTATCGTTGTGCGCAAACAGCCGCCAGAGTAAGAACAGAGCACTGTTTTTGGGTAGGAACCATGCCAGTAGAGTTCTTCTGCGGAGGTCTGGGCAATTGCGCAGTCAGCCTGTCCGTGCCTGCGAGGAGTCCGAGGTTGAGCTGGAGCGTGTGAAGGTGCTCCCTACGCATGACCCCCACTTACTGTGCTGTGCTGCACTTGTGGTGCTTACAGAGATTTACCAAATGCCTCCGCAGTTTGCACTGAGGGTCCTAGAGCCAAGCCAAGGATTGGTATTGGGAGTTCCAGGCTGCCTCCGGGCAGCAGAGAGCGGAAGAGCACCTGCTTCCGCAGCTTTGGTTCAGTTCTCGTGCCCACGTATCTTTGGTAGTGTCTTGCCTTTCTTCTTTGTCTGTTTGCTCGTGCTTCTGTGTGTGCCCTCAATTCTTGGGTGATGCCAAGGTTCAGGGCTCTCATAAAGATGAGGGTACTTTTGGGGGCATCTACGCTTGAGGGTCTCCACAGCCACAAAAACATCTGCCAAGCCCCAAACCCCAAAGTCACAAGGTCTGGGATGCCTGCGGCTCTTTCACCTGCATGGGCCTCGACTTTGAGGACGACGCGCCAGGAGCAGCACGGTTGCTTTCGGCAGGGACCCGCTGCAGCGCTAATATTCTGTTGTCATTATGATTGTTGTTATTAACAGTGCACGCAAAGTTCCAGAGGTGGTACTAGAAACCCACCAAACCCTCACACCACTAAACCCCCTCAATCTACGACTGAGATGGCCGGGTACATGTAGAAAAACCTCTTCAAAGTGAGTTGTCTGCTACTAAACCCTAACAGCGCGAGAGGAGGATTGTCAAGAGTCGTGCAGAAGAAGGAGGGCCCGGAGGAGGCATCCGGGGGTTGAACCCAATCATGGGCCCTTTTGGGGTCTCTAGTTTCGCATGTTGATAAACAAGGGTGGAGGGTACCAAAAGTCCTTCTTGCCCCCATGGAGAGTTCGGGGGAAAGGAGGGGGAGGGGAAGGGGGGGGGAGGGCGGCGCAATGCAAGGGAGAGGGGAGGCTCCACTCGCGGCTTCATTGCCTATGCTCCGCAGTGGCAATTACCCTGTTCACCTTGCCTCCCCGATGAGCCCCTAACCCCTTCACTCGTCGTGTCTAAGTTGCTGGGGATCCTTAGTTCATCATGCGACATGCGCACTCCGGGCCAGGTCAGTTGCAGCTTCCTGGAGCGTCTCGCCTGGAAGGGCTATGTCATGTGTCCTAAGTGCTTGCAGTTTCGCCAAGACTTACATTCTTCATCCAAAGCCTGCCCCCCCCCGAGATCCGCTGAACCCTCAAACCCCCGAAGCCTACCCATGGGGCGGGCCTCCCCATGTGGTCATCTTCCGCTCTGAACTTCCTGAAGTAATTGTCTAAAACCCGAACTCCTAGTATACCTTTAGCCCCAAACCCTAGATCCTATGAACAATGCCTTTCGCTCCCCCAGTGCGGGGGGGATTCCGTCGGGCTCCGCCTGGAGGCTTGCGGACCTCCTGCGCGCAGCTTGGCCTTCAGGGGTCGAATGGGGGCTTCTCGTGGGTTTTCACCGGGGTTTGAAAGGGTTGAAAAGGGTTTTACGCTTTGAGTGTTTAGGGGCTTGAGGATGAGAGGGTGTCTCTACGGGCCTGTTGGAGGCTTTTAGACGGTGTTCAGGGTCTTGCCTTGAGCCCAAAACCACTAAACAATGTCGGAGGATACGTGCCATGCTCACATCTACCGGTGCGAGTACCTTTCCGAGAGAGCCAGGCACATCCCCGAGGCCGTGCTTTTAAGGCGGTGCAGATGGCTTGAGCCATTGAGGGTTTCGAGTGTCAAGGTCTTGCGTTGGGAGTTCGGTGTTCTGGTCTTTCCAGTTTGATTGCTTCTCGCTTCATTTGGTTTTGATTTTGGGTGCGAACACGTTAGGATGCCAGACTTGTAGGGGCAACCGTTGAGCAACTGCTAACCCAAAGCCCAGGATCTGAGCGAACGATGAGCGCTTACTTTTTGGCAAATCACACGGAGCCCTACTCCCCTAAAGCATTGTGTTACATTCTCCCCGCGGCCTGAACCCTGACCACAACTAGGCCGCGTCGCGAGGGAGGTGACTCTACACAGGGTTGTGGGTTTTCCTCGCGGCCTCCTGCAACACTCTCGCCCCAAGAAGGCCACCTTCTTCCAAGACTGCGGCTTGGGGCTC